GTATGTATGTATATAGTGTGTGTGTGTGTGTGTGTGTATATATCTCTCTCAGGTAAAATAAGTATTGAACACATCACCATTTTTCTAGGTAAGTATCTTTCTAAAGGTGCTACTAACATGAAATTTTCACCACGTCGGTAAACAACCCATACAATTTATACATACAAAGAAACCAAAACAAGTTCAGAAATTAAGTTGTGTAATAGAATGGAATGACACGGGAAAAAAATATTGAACATGCTAACTGAAATTTATTTAACATCGTGCAAAATCCTATGTTGGTAATGACAGCTTCAAGATGCCTCCTGTATGGATAAACTAGTCGCATTCATTGCTCAGGTGCGATTTTGGCCCATTCCTTTACACAAACAGTATTAAAATCTTGAAGGTTCCATGGGCCTCTTCTATGAACTCTGATCTTTAGTTCCCGCCGACCTATAGGGGAATGACGGCCAAGAGGGACTCTCGTAGATCCGGCTGGGTCATATGACGTCCTCCTGGTTCACCACCTTCTGTGCGCCCACAGGGCCACACTGTGTCAAGATCAGTCACCGGCTGTGTCCTATGGACACAGCTGATGACCGCTCTGTTTACCGGCCCATTGCCAGTACCATGTGACCCACTGTGACCAATCACAGCAGGTCACCTGACAATTGTAAACAATGGATGGCTTCCTTCCTTACTCTTCCTACGACTCCATCCCCCACAGCTTACTTTTCCTGTGCCACCATCTCCTCCCTCCTAGATTGTAAGCTCGAAAGAGTAGGGCCCTATAACCCCTCGTGTGCTGTTTGTAGTTGCTGTAATGTTTCATGTATTGTCCCCCCCTCTATTGTACAGCGCTAAGCAAACCCTTTGGCGCTATATATAAACTCAATGTAATGTAATGTAATAATCCATTGTATATTATTATTATACAGTATATATAAAGCGCCAATAGTTCGCTCAGCGCTGTACATTACAAAGGGGACAGAACATGTGACAGAACAATAACAATGCAAAACATGAGGGGTTTGAGGGCCCTGCTCTTTCGAGCTTACAATCTAGGAGGGAGGAGATGGTGGCACAGGAAAAGTAAGCTGTGGGGGATGGAGTCGTAGGAAGAGTGGAGGAGGTCGGCAAGTTAGCAGGGGGTATGGTAGGCTTCCCTGAAGAGGTGGGTTTTCAGGGTGCACCTAAAGGAGAGTAGGTGATAATCTGATGGGTTGGGGCAGGGAGTTCCAGAGGATGTTGCGACACCCTGGAGAAGTCCTGGAGGCGGGCATGGGAGGAGGAGACCAGGGAACTAGAGAGCAGGAGGTCTTTTGAGGAATGGAGTGAGCGTGCTGGGTGGTACTTGGATATTAGGTCGGTGATGTAGTTCAGGGCAGTATGGTGGATGGCTTAGTATGTCAGTGTTAGGATTTTGAATTTGATCCGTTGCGCAATCGGAAGGCAGTGGAGGGATTGGCAGAGGGGGGTGGCGGAAACGGAGGAAAGGTGAATGCGTCTGGCAGTCGTATTCAGGATCGACTGAAGCGGGGATAGCCAGTGGCGAGGCAGGCCAGTAAGAGGGAGTTGCAGTAATCGAGTCGTGATATGATGAGGGAGTGGATGAGCTGTTTAGTGGTTTCTGGGGTTAGGAACGTGTGCATTTTGGCGATGTTGTGGAGGTGGAGTCTGCATGAGTTTGTTAAAGATTGGACTTTGGGCTGGAAGGATAGGTTGGAGTCCAGAATGACACCAAGTACTCTGGCCTGCAGGGCGGGTTTTGATGGTGGCGTTGTTGGACATGATGGTGAAGTCAATGGGGGGTGTGGTCCGGGCTGGGGGGAAGACAAGAAACTCGGTTTTGGAGAGGTTCAGTTTAAGGAAGTGGAGCGACATCCAGTCTGATATGTCGCTCAGTAGGTGTGTGATTCGGGCGGAGACTGAGGGGGTGAGGTGGGGGGGTCGAGAGATTTGTGTGTCATCGGCATATAGGTGGTAGTTGAAGCCGTGAGAGTGTATGAGTTGGCCAAGGGAGGAGGTGTAGATGGAGAAGAAAAGGGGCCAGAGGACGGAGCCTTGAGGGACCCCAACAGAGAGGGGGAGTGAGGGGAGATGGTAGCATTATAGGTAACGATGAAAGAGCGTTGTGACAGGTAGGATGAGAGCCAGGAGAGAGCAGAATCTCTGAGGCCGAGGGAGTGTAGTTTTTTGAGGAGGAAGGGGTGGTCGACTGTGTCGAAGGACGCGGAGAGGTCAAGGAGCAGGAGCACTGAATAGTGGCCATTAGCTTTGGCGGTTAGCAGGTCATTGGAGAGTTTGAGTAAGGCAGTTTCGGTGGAGTGTAGGGGACGGAAGCCGGCCTGTAGGGGATCGAGGAGGTTGTTGTTGTTGAGGTGAGAGCTTAGGCGGGTGTAGACTAGGCGCTTGAGGAATTTGGATGTGAAAGGGAGCAGGGAGATGGGTCTGAGGTTGTTCGGGTCATTGGGATCCAGGGAGGGCTTTTTAAGTATGGGGGGATGTGTGCATGCTTCAGAGGGGAGGGGAAAGTGTCGGAGGAGAGGGAGAGATTAAAGATGTGGGTGAGGGAGCATTGTGTTGTTAGCTGTGATTGGCCCAGTCTGTACATGTGATCACTGTGACCAATCACCGCTAACACCACAATGGTATACAATGGATGGCATGAAAGGAAGCCATTCATTGTTTACAATTGTCATTTGTCCTGCTGTAATTGGTCACAGCGGTCACATGGTACCGAAAACGGGCCGGCACACAGATCGGTCATCGGCTGTGTCTTATGGAGGAGTACATCATATGACACCCAACTGGATCGACGAGACTTTCGCTCAGCCGTCATTCTATAGGCTGGCGGGAACTGGTTAAGTGCAGAGCCAAAGTATAATACTTTATCAAAGATGATAATTACCAATGCTTTCCCTGCCTGTGCGTCCCCTAAAGAAGGCCTAAATTTATACTGTGCTGGGTGGGTGTATTGCCAATTAACTAATTAGGAGTGCATAGGAGAGAAACACATGGCTAGCAGAGCAAGCTTCTCATACCAAAGGCAGACTACAAGAGACAACAAGAGAGCAGGAGGGCAGAGTTGTAAAGATTAAGATCAGCTCATAATTTAGGTTTACCCACCTCCTGTCCACCATATAGTAATATGACGGACACAAAGTGGTTCTTTCGTTCTGGGAGGACGTCATATGATCCACGGAAAGAGCCGAAGATCTCGGCTCGGTCAGGTGATCAGCTGTGTCCAATCACAACTGATCACATGTAAACAGGGAAATGCCGGGTATCGGCATTTCTCTCCTCTCGAGCTGTCACGCTGACGCTGGGTCGATTTTCGAGTGATTTTGCATTCGATAAACGGCTCTGTTAGTGGGGCAATGGCACCAGCCGATTTTCGTGGTTCCTCCACATTTCGTTTGAGCATGCTGGAAAATTCGTGAAAAACGACCAATTTTCGAAATCATTGGTGGCACCATCAGATTACAGAACGAACGATGTTTTCGATTGAAAAATAGTTCAGAATTCGACCCATGTATGGCCTGCTTTAGTAACTCTCCCACAATGTCTCTTTAACCACCTCCCGCCCGCCATATAGTCCAATGACAGGCGCAAGGCGGTTCTCTCGTTCTGGGAAGACATCATATGACGTCCTCCCATTCTCACCACGCGGTGATCGGCGGTGCGCTCTGTACCTCGGACACAGCGGATCACTGATCAACGGAACGAGCTGAAGATGTCGGCTCGGTAATGTGATCAGCTGTGTCCAATCACAGCTGATCGCATGTAAACAGGGAAATGCCGGTTATCAGCATTTCTCTCCTCATGACCTGTCACGCTGACAGCTCGAGAGGAGTGGAGAGCCGGTAATTGGTATTCCTCGGGACATGTACGCTGATCATCAGGGCACTGATGATCAGTGTGCCCTGATAATCAGTGTAGCCCCAGCAGTGCCACCTGTCAGTGTCCATCAGTGCTCATCCATGCCACCTACCAGTGCACATCAATGCCACATATCAGTGCCCATCTGAGCTGCCTTTCTGTGTCCCCCATCAGTGCCACCTATCAGTGCTGCCTATCAATGCCAGTCAGTGCCGCCTATCAGTGCCATATGAGTGCTGCCTTTCAGTGCCCATCAGTGATGCCTGTCAATGCCCATCAGTGCCACCTACCAGTGCCTCCTCATCAGTGTCACTTATCAGTGTCCATCATGCAGCATATCAGTGCCCATCAGTGCAGCCTCATTAGCGCACATCAGTGAAGGAGAAAAATCACTTATTTACAAAATTAAAAAAAAACAAAAACTAAGAAAAAACTTTTATTTTCAAAATTTTCAGTGGTTTTTGGTTTAAGAAAAAATAAAAAACCCAGAGGTTATTAAATACTATCTGTCACAAAAAATTATAAAAATTTCATATGGGTACAGTGTTGCATGACCGCGCAATTGTCATTCAAAGTGTGACAGCACTGAAAGCTGGAAATTGGCCTGGGCAGGAAGGGGGTATAAGTGCCCTGTAGGCTAGTGGTTAAAGACTAGCTCTTTCACCCACTATTTCAGCATGAATGTTAAAGGTTTCACTTATCTATATTTATACAAATTTGAGAATTCTGCTGCATGATCTCCTGGATTAGGAGCACCTGTCAAAACATTTTCTGCAGCACTTTACAGTGTCTCCCTAATCCTGTTTGTATGTTGTTTTGTAATATGATGTAATGACTAAATGCATGTCAATACCTGTATTTGCTCTTACATTATTTGTAGTTCCAGTTATTCTTTCATACTTTAGCAAGTCAAGTGAACATTGTCAAACAGGTATCTGAATGTCTTATGCTTCTGAAAGAAAGTCAGACTTTTGACCAGCTATAGCTATAGTTTTTCACTGCTAAGTAAATGGTGATATCTATGCCCTCAGGGCAGCATGGGGGTGCTCTTGATAAGAAGGGGTCTGTTTTTGAAGACTTTGCTTTACAGATTTGCTTATTTTTATTTACAGTTTTAAATAGAAGAGTTGAATAAAATGCGGCTGATATATCTAGGCATTCTCCTTGCTCTGTCTGCCCTTTGTTCTTCCTTGGACAATGGCTTAGGAAAGACACCTCCAATGGGCTGGATGACATGGGAACGATATAGATGCAACATTGACTGCAAAATTGACCCAGAGAATTGTATTGGGTAAGCTTTTTTTTTTTTTTTAATACATTTTTAACTTTCTAGTACATAAATTGCCATGGTAAAAATTTATTTTTAAAAGACTGTTTATGTTAGGAAAATGTAATCCCCAAATTTTCTGCTTTTAATTACTTTAAATTGCTGTACACTCCATGACCAGACCAGGCATAGTAAATAAATGTTTTTCTGAGTTTCACTGTTACTGCAAATCCCATAACTACCTTGTAATTTTTAGAGGATTTAAAAGTAAAGTTTGTAAAAAGTGAAGATATATCCTTTAGATACAACCTAAAGACTCAGTGCTGTTTTTCATCCAGGGATAGCTGTACGGCTCCAGTCCACCACACTCTCTTTTGTCAAATTTGAAGCTGGAATACACAGAGCAGACACCTTGCTGCCTCCTACATGCAGAAAATGTTATGTAAAAATATGTCAATACTAAGAAGTTTCTCGCAGAAAAGCTTGTTGATGTACGAAGCGGAGAGCCGAGCTGTGAAGGGGGTGGTAGGTGCTGGCTCAGGCTCTCAGCAGCATGTTGAGAGGCTAAGCCAGCTGCTGGTCCAGGCATCTGGGTGGATCCTGACCATGTGGTCGGGATCTTTTCAGAGCCTGGACCTGCTGATAACAAGCCACAGGCACGCAGAACGAAGTGCACTCCTGTGATCCCTAGAAGAAGTATAGCCAAAATAGCTGTGGCTATGCTTCTTCTTTAATACTACTCTAACTATCCATCTCCCAAAGAATTACTTTTGGAAATATTTACATTCACTAACCTTCCAATTTGTTAAACAGCTTACATTACTTATCAAAGATCTGCTGATACTCCATTGTTTAGTTGTCAGTTCGTTATTTAATATTTTTAAAATTACCTTAGAATGTGTTTTTAAGCAAATCTGTAAGTGCAGTATCTAAATCCCAGTTGGACTCTAGTATAAAACTATGATGGTAAAGCAGCCCACATTAATAGCAAAACGTTTGTTCCCTACCATCAAACTGAGTTCTGAATGTAAGACACAGCTCTCTCAGGCTGTGGTCCAACAAGCCCGTGTGAATCAAAGCTACTTTCCCACATTCAGCTCCCACTCAGTAGGGGACTGTAGCTCTGACTTAAGTCTAGTACACACGATCAGAAACTCATATGAAAAATACTGCTTTTGAAGCGATCATACGATAATCTGATACGATAATCAGCTTTCGTACAAAATTTTTTGAAGGGACAACACTTTTCTTGTAAGATACCAGATCATACAATTTTCCTTTAATCAGTCCTGTGAGGAGCGAAGGGCACGGGTAGGGTGGTATTTGGGTACCAGGTCTGTTAGGTAGTTTGGGGTGGCGTGTTGTGAATGGCTTTGTAGGTCAGAGTTAGCAGTTTTAATTTGATGTGCTGGGCAATCGGGAGCCAGTGAAGGGATTGGCAGAGGGGGGTGGTGGATGTGGAGCTGTTGGTGAGGTGGATGAGTCTCGCCGCTGAGTTCAGGATAGACTGGAGTAGGGATAGCGTTTGTTTGGGTAGGCCAGTGAGAAGTGACTTGCAGTAGTCCAGCGTGAGATGATGAGGGAGTGTACGAGTTGTTTAGTAGTGTCTGGGGTGAGGAATGTACTTATCTTTGAGATGTTGCGGAGGAGGAGGCTGCATGACTTTGATAGTAATTGGACATGAGGTTGGAAGGAAAGGTTTGAGTCCAGGGTGACACCCAGGACTTTGGCGTGTGGGGTGGGAATGATGGTGGCGTTGCTAGTAGTGATGGAGAGGATGGGGGGGCACGGGCTGGGGGAAAACCAGGAGCTCGGTTTTGGACAGGTTTAACTTGAGGAAATGGAGCAACATCCAATATGATATGTCGTTCAGGAGGTGGGCGATGCGGGCGGAGAGTGAGGGGGTGAGGTGGGGGGTGGAGAGGTAAATTTGTGTGTCGTCGGCATAGAGGTGATAATTGAAGCCGTGGGAGTGTATTAGTTTGCCAAGGGAGGAGGTGTAGATGGAGAAGAGCAGGGGTCCGAGGACAGAGCCTTGGGGGACTCCAACAGAGAGGGGGGGGGAGGTGGCAGTGTTATAGGTGACGCTGAAGGAGCGTTGGGACAGGTAGGAGAAGAACCAGGAGAGAGCAGCTTCCCTGATGCCAAGGGAGTGCAGTTTAGTAAGGAGGAGGGGTGGTCGACTGTGTCAAAGGCCGTGGAGAGGTCAAGGAGCAGGAGGACTGAGTAGTGGCCATTAGCTTTGGCAGTTAGCAGGTCGTTAGTGATTTTAAGTAGAGCGGTTTCGGTGGAGTGTAGGGGACAGAAGCCATAGTGGATCAAGGAGGTTGTTATCAGTGAGGTGGGCGCTTAGGCGATTGTAGGCCAAGCGCTCAAGGAGCTTGGAAGTGAATGGTAGCAGGGAGATGGGTCTAAGGCTGTTTAGGTCAGTGGGGTCAAGGGAGGGTTTTTGTGGTCTAAAACCTCCTTAAGATATTAGTGTGATCTCTGCCAGTATCTGTATTTTTAAAATTGCTTTCTTTGATTCTGCAAAATGCATAACTTTTTCATGGTGGATGTTCTCACTGCTTTGAATCTGCACTCCCAATGACCACCATCAGATAACTGCCTGTGTCATAAACTATAGGTGTACATGCCCAGTATACTGGAGCACCATGTCACCACAATGTACCCCTTGTATCACCGCCCATAAACAGTTGATCCAGAGGAAGGCAAAAAAAAAAAACAGCAAAGCATGATCCAATTTGCTCCTGCAGGGGAAAAAATTCCTTCCTGATCCCCCAAAAGGCAATCTGATATTCCCTGGATCAACTTTACCTATTAAAGTTAGTATTCAGTTATATTCTCTGTCATTCTAATGTGACTTTCATGCAACTTTGGAGGGTTTACATTGAAGTCTATGGCCCTCAAGTCACATGAAAGTCGGACCAAAGTAGTTCAGGAACTACTTTCATGTCGCTGCAACTTGAAGTTGCACAGATATGAACTGTACTCATTGGGAAACGTGGGGTGTTGGACCCCAAAGTCGCACGACAATTTGCAAAAGTGTGAAAGGGGTCTTAGGGTGACTGAAAGACAGGGTACAGGATGATGTCTGCTCATAGAAGGGCAAAGGAAGATGGCGGCAGGAGAAAGAATAGAATGCAGTATAGGCTAGTGGTAGCTGAGGGTTTATTATATTTTGTCTGTGATTTTATTCTATAATAAATGGGAAAAAAAAGCACAGTCCAGGAGTCCCAGTGTACTTATAGAAATAAAATATTCTTTGCAATACAATAAAGGACAGAAGCTTGCGATTATTTTTTTTCTTTTTTTTGAGGTGTTGCTTAGAGTCACAAAAAAATGTATGTTTTATTAATATATATTTTCTCAATATTTGTTGTAAAAGGCAATCCTGATACCAGGAAACATTTATATGAAAACACATGTATAGTCAATTTGCACGATCATATGACATATACAGTATATTGCAATTAGTGAAAATGACTTCCACCCATAACTTTTCTAACACTACAAGTAACAAAGAATTTAACAAAAATCTAGGTGGAAATACCTTGGTTTTATCTTTTTTTTTTTTTTTAAATATATTCTTGTTTTTTAGTGAAAATTTGATCAAAAGGATAGCTGACAAAATGGCTGACGGTGGCTGGAGGGAACTTGGCTATGTTTATATCTGCATTGATGACTGTTGGTCACTCAAGAGTAGGGGTTCCAACGGGCGACTCCAACCTGATCCAGAAAGGTTTCCCAGTGGCATGAAAGCACTCGCTGACTATGTAAGTATGTTATATGCTGTTATACAGAGTTATGTGGAGAGTACAGTAACACCACCTACCTTTGGAAAAAGTGGTATCGAGATCCCTCACTTTTCCACTTCAGTATCTAGCTTGCTCAGTGCATCCACATGAGCGCTAACAAACTCATTGACTATTCATACACAGCCCAATTTTTAGCTTTCAGTGTTCTCACATTTTGAATGACAATTACTCAGTCATGCTAAATTGTTTTGAAATTACATTTTTATGTTTTTTTTCACACTAATAGAGCTTTCTTTTGGTGGTATTTAGTTACCACTGGGTTTTTTATTTATTTTTTGTGATATAAGCGAAAAAAAGTGCAAATTTTGAGAGAGTATATTTTCAACTTTCTGTTTATAAAAAAATATCCAATAAAATCAGATTTCAACATAAATTTAGGCAAGAATATATTCTACTACATATCTTTGGTAAAAAAAAACCATCCCAATAGGTGTATATTAATTTGTGTGAAAGTTATACTGTCTACAAGCTATGCTACATATGATACCACTACCACACCAGGATTTACAGTGCTAGAGGTGGTGCCTGCTCCTCCTCAGATCTCTTGAACCTCTTTGTTTGGACTCTCTCCTCAGAATCCGTTGCTGACCCACTGCTTTAAACGGGCTCATACTCAGAAGTCTGACAGGGAGAGTTCCCACTTTTCTCTTCCCTCATACTCATCTGGAAAGCCTCCTCACTGCTGTATAATTTTTTAGTCGTATTGATGCTGCACTGCTAATATTGCTGATGTTGATCACTGGTACTGTGTGACAGATGTTGATTTGACACTGGTACAATGTGACAGATGTGGAGATGATCACTAGTACATTGTAACAATGTTGATCACTGATATGATGTAACAGATGTGAATTTGACATGGTACACTGTGACAGATGTTGATCACTGATATGCTGTGACAGATGTGGATTTGACACTGGTACACAAACAGATGTTGATGATCACTGCTACACTGTGGCAGATGTGGATTTGTAACTGGTACACTGTGAAAGATGTGGATGATCACTGGTACACTGACAGATGTGGAAATGGCACTGGTACACTGTGACAGATGTGGATGATCACTGGTACATTGTGACAGATGTGTGTACATTGGGGACACTTGCTGGGTCATTAGTATGTGTAAAGCAGTAATAATGCTGTAAATTCGCTGTGTGAGGAGAAACAGAACTGATAGGCTGCAATGTTTACATTACATGATGGCTGTGATTGGACACAGCCATCATGATCAGAAGGGCCAATCACAGAGCCCTTCTTCTGAGTCATGATGCACTGTGACACAGGCACACCGAGAGCGCGGAGCTGCACATTCACGTTTTTAGGGAAGTACGGGTACGTCTAGTCAGAGTGGAAAAGCTACCACCTGGCCGTTTAAGTACAGTGGCCAGGTGGGAAGTGGTAAAAAGCTTCAGATGTATAAATGTAACCTTTAATTGCCATTTTAACTTGTGTGTGTCACCTTGTCTGTACCAAGGCCAAACATTCCAGGGTATGTAAATTTTTGACCAGGGCCATGTGGGTGATTTCTGTTATCATTATGATTTAAAATGGAGCCAAACAACATATGTGATAATAAACGGCTTCATATAATCACTATCCTTAAACTAAAGACAGTTTTTTTTTTGGCATGATCAGTCACATTTTCATATCTATGCCAAACGTTCACGATTTCTGCCAGGGTATGCAAACTTTTGAGCATAACTGTTCAACACTTTAAACCTAAACTGTGGGGAAATTAAAAAACTTCTCTTGCAGTGGGGCTGCCTTTGGGTTAAATGCTCATTTTTGCCATGAAAAAAAAACTTCAGTTACTTTTTTTCCCTTGCTGTCCTGGCAGCCAATGCTCTCCGCTCCTCTGGCACGTCAGGTTGAGGGTGGGCCCTCAGCGTCCTCACTTACAGTGCAGGACTGCTGGTCCTGTATTGTACACCGATGACATCAGAGTATGACCAACAGACAGAGCACCAAATACATGGTCTCCTGGAGAGGAGGTACCTAGGGGAGCAAGAATTAAAGTGTGTAAAAGTGATTTTTAATGTTACCATAGGCAAACAAGCATTTAAAACCTTGCAGTGCAGAAAGAACCACCACTACAAGGGTAGTTTTTAAATTTACACAGAGTTCAGTTTTTTTTATTTTTTGCTCTTCATTGCAGTGTGTGAGCAATACATTAGAATGACTGGTTAATTCATAATGGAATGCTAACTTATTTTTTATTGTTGATTTTCAGGTACATGCCAGAGGCTTAAAGCTTGGAATTTATGCTGACTTGGGTAATTTTACTTGTGGTGGCTATCCAGGAACCACTCTTGACAGTATACAAGTTGATGCTGAGACATTTGCATCATGGGAAGTTGACATGTTAAAATTTGATGGCTGCTACTCAAATTCTTCAGAAAAAGCATTAGGTCTGTATGCATTTTTATTTACAACACAATAATATACAGTACAGAAGTCATTTTTGTGCATGTTTGAAGTATTTCTGAAGTGACCTATATCTAACTGAACTGCTTCTGGTGCTACAAAACAGGTACCTCTGGTTACCTGCACATAAAGTTTTCTCTTCAGTTGCCCCGATGCTCTGGATCCGGTCATTCCTTTCATACAAAAGTATAATGGGCCCAAACCTTGGTCAGTACCTCCTAAGCTACCATATTAAATCATCACTATGATGGGCAATCAAGGTGGGAAAGGGGTAAGGCTTTAAACCAGGAAATTGGGTTAATCTTCGCATACCAGAGTGACCCATGATTTATAAATCTGGACCACTGAAGGGGAAATATGACCAGATGTGCAAGAACTTGTTATGGGTGATAGGTACTGGTCATATCTAGATGTTTGCCGTTTGCTCAGTCTTCAGTCCAGGAGTTCCACAAACACCCAGGAGAAGATGTATGCATTAAAGGTTAGACAGGCAGAGGAATGCTGCATTGTCAGGTGGTGGTAAATAGTGGTTAATAGCTCCCAGTAAAATTCCCAGTAAGTATTCCACAAGATTTTCTAGTTGGATGACCACAGACAGAGCTCCTGTACTCAGCAAACAGGCAGGAACAGGTAGACCTAACCAGGAACAACAGGAGAAGAAGTACAGCCAATACAGGTCAGATAACCAGATCAAACCAGAATACACAAGACAGATGGGCTTAGCCCAAATGCAAGAACAGACAATATGGCTAACTCATATGCACTGGCTGGTGAGCAAGAAGCCCTGAAATAGCCAGTAACACAGAATGTATAAGAAACACACAAAGAGAGACTGACTGAACTTTCCTAACCTGGGAAGTACATCAGACTTGAAATGTTAGAAGGGCACACATACCAAATTTGTGGCATACCTGGAGGTGCATGTTGTGTACTGCTGGCAGTGGTTCTGGTATGTATAAATTAGGTATGCTATAATACATAGGATGCATTTTTTTTGTTCTGTTCCAGGATATCCAAAAATGAGTTATGCACTAAATGCAACCGGGAGGCCCATTTTATATTCCTGCAGTTGGCCTGCATATGAAGGGGGTCTTCCTCCTCAGGTAAGTGTTAGTTGGTAAGTGGCAATTTTATGGTAAATCTAAGGAGGCAGGCTACATCATTTTGGATCAGTTTTGGACCATGCCAAAGACGTTATGCTTAGAAGGTGCATGACACCCTTTGCTTAAACTTTTAAATGGCTAGCAAGTGATGAGACAAGCCAGAGTTCTCTGAAAACTGCACAGTCAGTATTGGTGCACATAACCGTTAAAGAGGGAGGATTCTGCTTTAGCACATTTTTCCTCTGGTCCTTTTCCATTACTTATTTGATTCAGAGCTACAGTATAGTTTCAATTTGCATAGTGGTTTGAGATTATTCTAAATCTGTGTTTTGTTTTTTTTTTTTTTTTTTTTTTTTTTTATTTACTCATTGGGAGTTGTATTGTGATATTTTCTGGATTTGAAAGATATACTCACAGGAGCAGCTTTTGATTTTGTCTTGAAATTTTGTGTCATTAGGGTGTAATGTATTTCATTTACTCGTAATTGTTTACTTTTTGAGATATGTGTGTTGCTGCTGCTTTATTTGCTTTGTGTTGATATATCATTCAGTCATCCTGAATTCTATTTTGATTTACATTTTTTTTTGTTTTGTTTCTTTTTATTGTCTTGTATGTTTTTGTTAAAACTTTAATAAAATACCTGATTAAAAGAGTGAGAATTTTATTGATATTAAAAAGGACAGAAAGGAAATCTAGATGACTTTCTATATTCCTGCATATTGACCAGCAGCAAAAACATGTTATTTAACTATTATGATTCTGGAGTTCAAGCATGTATTTAGATTTAAAAAGAAATGTTAATTTATCTGACATTCTGTCCACACAGGTGAATTACACTTTGCTAGGCAGCATTTGTAATTTGTGGAGAAACTTTGATGATATTCAGGATTCCTGGGAGAGTGTGCTGACTATCATAGAGTGGTTTGCCGTCCATCAGGATGATCTACAGTCAGTTGCTGGCCCAGGAAGGTGGAATGATCCAGACATGGTGCGTTGAATGCAATTTGCTTTTAATTGTGATCATATTGGAATGTATCTTTCTAAAAGTTTTTTATGCCCCTTTATATGTTTTCTTCTCTGCACTTTCTAATATAAATGCTGAAGGATACTTTTTTTTTCTAGGACTTTTGAAAGCAAGATAAATCAGACACGCACAAATGTTCCTGATAACCACAATCACTGTACATCATCTAAGGCTTTAGAGTGATTTTGGTGGATGTCAACAATGTACATGGGAATCTAAATTGCACTGTTTACATGTACACTAATGTTGTACAGGCAATTTGTACGCTTTCTGGCAGCATCCAGGGAGGATCAGGGGATCAGGGACCATGAGGTCAGATAAGATTCAATGCATTCTACTTTCCCCCCACTGCATGAGTGCTGTGCTGTGGATTCTACACTATACATCTCCACTATGTATGCTTTGATGTACATAACATATTCTTCACTCTGAACACTGTGCTGCTCATTTTGTAAGCTAGTGCAGGGGCCAACACTGCTGCCATGCCTAGGGACCCATTTGGCCTTAATCTGGCTCTGGTTCTGGCTTTTACTAATGTGTATGTAAGCAAGTTAAAATTAACTAGTTAGGTGCTGTCCCAGATGGGAGGGCTAGGGTTAACTTAGTTCTCAGGTTTCTCTTTGTGGTGGGATTTTTGGGTCTGACCCTCTGCTCCTATGGATATAAAAGTGGACAGTTGTCTGGGGCCAGAGAGTTCTACAGTGAGAGAGTACAGACACTGAAGAGTAAGAGATGGGAAACCCACCAAGTTGGGGTTCTCCCAGCTGCTGAAGAATGCCACTGATGGACCTTTTAGCACATGGGCTCTACCTTTGCAGGTATGCCAGGACAGCACAGCCTAAGTAGAATTAGGGAACAGGGATATAGGAAAAGACTGCTTTCATCTGTTGGACTCAGTAATGTTTTGCACTTTGATTCAGTAAATTGTTGAACTTTGCCTTCTGCCTGGTCTGAAGTTATTCAAAGTAGTACACTGCAAGTAACCGACACACTTCTACAGCATTGGGGTATGAAGAGTCAGCTCTTAGGGATTCATCCTAGTGCAGTGTTACATGTGGTTGCCATGGGCAACGAAAGTCTACAGCCAACCAAGCAGCCTGTCGGTAGTGTGTACCTGTTAGACCGAACAGCTTCTAACAGCAAGGGAGATGTTGTTGGCACTGCTTCCACTGCAGTCTGTCTCCCATAGCAACAGGAGTGGACTTGCACCGCAGAGATCCCAATCCTGTACTGAGGTATGAAGGCTCGAGAGTGAAGTCAAATGCATGTGTGAAGCACGGGCAAACTGCACGCGCGGGCCAACTCCACTACTGGGGAAGGGTAGTGGAAAACGCTAGACAGGTGGTTGTGGACAAGCATCAGTATGTCCCTCCTAATTGTGAGTCTACAGTGGGTAGATATACATACAAGGGACCCAGATGTTTATTGGAGGACAGTTATTGTGTAAATGTACACTGAGGGTCAGCAACCAGTAGATCGCGGCCAGGTGACTGGTAGATCGCGGTCTGAGATTGCTAACCTGCCATCCTAGATTGTAAGCTCCAAAGAGCAGGGCCCTCGAACCCCTCATGTATTGTATTGTTACTGTATTGTCTCATGTACTGTCCCCCACTATAATGATCAACCTTTTTAGCGCTATATAAATACTGTATAATAATAATAATTAGAATGCAATGCAGAGGGACTGTAAAGTTGTATCTGTAGTAGAGAGCAAGAGCTCCGTAAGCCGATACCTCCTGTGTAGTGCTGGCTCCTGTCCCACACGGCGTGATACCAACTGCAGAGTGGTGCCAGCAGCAGGAAAGAACAGATCTTCAGGTCAATGTGAAGTAATACACTGGGCATAATAGTATAAGGCTGCTTTTACACTGATGCACTGTGGTTTACCCCACACCACAGGTGCAGTGCACTGCATCCACAGTGCAGGTAAATTGCAGCACATCAGTGTGAAAGCAGAAGGGCTCAGAACAGTAAGGGTTCATTTACATTTGCATTTTTGGGGGTGGTAAAACCCCATAGTTAAGACTCCTTTTGTACCACCTCCTGCCCCCACTTCACCCCCTTTAGCTGCAGTGGCCAGAGATGTACACGTTGCAGCCGCAGCAGGAGTTCTTATGCCCTGAGATGGTTGGTGGGTGTATCGCCTGCCAAACATGTCCCATTCAAGTCCACTCTGCAAGTGCCCTGCAACCTTATGCAGTACAGCAAACAAAGGGTTAAAGCAGGCAGCATTATGTTGCTTTCTCACCACCTTCTTTAGCCCCTTGGACCCCGCAGAAGCATGCAGTTGCGGGGTGCTTGCAATTGGTAGGTAGTAGCTGGGTGTTTAATTCTTGCTGCGGAATGTGTACACCTTTGGTTTCTGCCTCAGCAGCTAAAGGGGGTAAGGATTATGGGTGGGTAAAACCACAACTCAAGCGCAGGGTTTTATACCCCCCCCCAACTGTATGTGTGAACAAGCCCTAAAGGTGCTGCTGCTGAATGCAACGAAGGGCTCATTCACAAGTGCAGCAGGCACTGCTGCTCCTCTGAAAAGTGATCCAAGTGTATTTGACAGGTGGTGAGGAGGCGATTTAAACCCATGATTGCCATGCAATGCATACGATTGCAACATGGTAGTATGACAATTAAAGGTTTAAATGAGGTGTGAGGAGGCAACACTGTGCCTGGTGATCTTTTACGTCTCCCATGTTGTTCAGGTAGATCTCCACCTATTTAAGTTTGCCTACCTCTGATGTATACAGTGTACATCCATCCCTGAAAGTAGAGGCCCACCTTAAGGTCAAGTATTCCCCCACAGCGATCTCAGCCTTGTCCCAGGACATTGATGAAATGGTACAAAAGTAATAGTACCCCATGTGTAGTATAGTAATCCTGTTATGGGTGCCTAGCATAGCCTAGAACAGTGGTTCTCAACCTTTCTAATGCCGCGACCCCTTAATACAGTTCCTCATGTTGTGGTGACCCCCAACCATAAAATTATTTTCATTGCTACTTCATAACTGTAATTTTGCAGTGGGAGGAGTAGTGCCATGTCATTGGTGTCAGTGGAAGGAGTTAGTGCCCCATCGTTGGTGTGTCAGTGGGGGGAGGAATAGTGCCCCATCGTTGGTGTCAGTGGGGGGAGGAATAGTGCCCCATCGTTGGTGTCAGTGGGGGGAGGAATAGTGCCCCATCGTTGGTGTCAGTGGGGGGAGGAATAGTGCCCCATCGTTGGTGTCAGTGGGGGGAGGAATAGTGCCCCATCGTTGGTGTCAGTGGGGGGAGGAATAGTGCCCCATCGTTGGTGTCAGTGGGGGGAGGAATAGTGCCCCATCGTTGGTGTCAGTGGGGGGAGGAATAGTGCCCCATCGTTGGTGTCAGTGGGGGGAGGAATAGTGCCCCATCGTTGGTGTCAGTGGGGGGAGGAATAGTGCCCCATCGTTGGTGTCAGTGGGGGGAGGAATAGTGCCCCATCGTTGGTGTCAGTGGGGGGAGGAATAGTGCCCCATCGTTGGTGTCAGTGGGGGGAGGAATAGTGCCCATCGTTGGTGTCAGTGGGGGGAGGAATAGTGCCCCTCGTTGGTGTCAGTGGGGGGAGGAATAGTGCCCCATCGTTTGGTGTCAGTGGGGGGAGGAATAGTGCCCCATCGTTAGTATTAGTGACACAAAAATGATGGGGCACTATTCCTCCCACTGACACCAATGATACTTACTTTGCTGACCCCTGCTCCAGCCTGGGCTCGCTCTCTCACTTACCTGTCAGCTGTCTTCCTTCTCTGGCCGCTCTCCTCTTCACTCGCTCCGGCAGCTCCCTCGGTCTTCTTTGATGTACGCGCGCTGCCGCTCGGCTCCTCCTCTCCAAGCTCCACCTCCTCGCCGGTGATTGGCCGCCTGTGTGTGCCTCTCCTGAGCTACAGTTCCGGTGGCCAATCAGCGGCGAGGAGGCGGAGCTGCTGAGCGATCCCGGAGGTGTGGCCAGGTGACAGCAGCGTATCATCCCGCCCACACATCGCCCCGGAGACTGCAGCGGTGTCTCAGTTCCTAAGACCATCGGAAATATGTGTTTTCCGATGGTCTTAGGCGACCCCTGGGAAATGGTCGTTCGACCCCCAAAGGGGTCGCGACCCCCAGGTTGAGAACCGCTGGCCTAGAAGAACCCACCTCCAGGTAGGCCTCCTATATGACCCATTCTTGGCACCCAGCGAGGAGGGAAACATGGAGGAGGTACCACCTGCCTACTCTACATGGCACGAATAAGTAATTTGTGGAAGTGTCAAAATAACTACAGATATCAAAAAGAAATCTACTGATAATTGTAGTTTGAAATATAAAAACAAGATGGCCACATTGAATGCTGGATCCATCAGAAATATAGAAAATAGGCAAATATCTTCTTGGCAAAAAAAAAAAAAAAAGCCTGCCCCTTAATTATATAATAATAAACATGCAATAACAATTAATATGTTTGTATTGTTTTGTAGCTTATAACTGGAGACTTTGGATTGAGTTATGAACAATCTAAATCACAACTGGCCATTTGGGCAATCCTGGCAGCTCCAATGATTATGTCCAATGACCTGAGCACCATCTCACAAGAAGCCAAGGAGCTTTTACAGAACCGTCTTTTGATATACATTTGACCAAGACTCCCTAGGAAAACAAGGAAGAAGAGTGGCAAAGGTACAGTATGCGTGAAAGGTTTAAGTACACATAAGACCACTAAATCAAACCTTGGAATAATATATCTTTGCACATTGGACCTTTTTTTTTTTTTTTTTTTTTTTTCTGCCTTTAAATGCTCCTGCATGTGCCCATGTACACATAAGCTTTTAGAGAATTTTACAGGCAGAAAAAAACCCAACTGCCAGCGCATCCAGCAGCAGCGGTGTATTGGCAGAAAAAAACACTTGCCACTAAATGCTAGGCACGTTTAGCGCTTGAGCATTAATTCATTTCAGTGGCCAACGTAAATTATTATTCTGTCCAGTGAAATGAAATAATGCCCAAACACTTGATGTAGTTAAATGTGACAAGTGCTTTGTTCTACCAAAATGCTGCTGACAGAAGGAAAGACATCTGCAAGAGATAGAAACATGTCCAGTGTGCATAAGGCTTTATAGTTGGATGATTCTTGGCTATAACTTAGGACATACATAGATTTCTGAATGATCGTTTTTAAACAACAAAACTCGACACAGCATATGTATCCATGCACAGTGGGTGTATGCGTGCACTCCCCAGAGTTGGGACATTGTTTTATTCCTGCTGTATGCGCATAGTACAGTAGCCAGCAGGCCCGGACTGGGGAAAAAAAATAGGCCCAGGCATTTTAGACTTAGAAGTAAATTTTTCCAGGGACTTGCGGGGGGGGGGGGGGGGGGGGGGGCTGTGGTTGGTGACAGGATATTCACGGAGTTGGTTCTCCACGCTGTATTGTAAAGGGACACTGTGATATAACAGGGACTGCACTGTAAAGGGGCACTGCATTGATTAGTGCAGTCCCCCTTTATATCACAGTGCCCCTTTACATTACAGTGCCCCTAGCACTCACAGCACCCCTTGTATCCATTTTCTCTCTAATCAGAGTGCCCCCTTTTACTCTGCTTTCCCCTGCACAGTCCTACCTTCGGCAGGGCACAGGCAGGATTCAGCCCATGTGTTCTCTCCATGGTCTCCCTCCCTGATGACAATATCCTATCAGCAAAGCAAGGGGGTGGGAGGAGCTGCAGATCTGGATCATATTTACAGTATATTTTGACTAAAGAGCAGCAAAGAGACATCCCCATATATTCAGAAAAGAGATGGCCCAATCCAGCAAAGAGATATCCCCATATATTCAGCAAAGTGACATCCCAATCCAGCAAAGATATATCCCCATCCAGCAGAGAGGCGGCCCCAGTATAGCAGAGAGGCGGCCCCAGTATAGCAGAGAGGCGGCCCCAGTATAGCAGAGAGGCGGCCCCAGTATAGCAGAGAGGCGGCCCCAGTATAGCAGAGAGGCGGCCCCAGTATAGCAGAGAGGCGGCCCCAGTATAGCAGAGAGGCGGCCCCAGTATAGCAGAGAGGCGGCCCCAGTATAGCAGAGAGGCGGCCCCAGTATAGCAGAGAGGCGGCCCCCCAGTATAGCAGAGAGGCGGCCCCAGTATAGCAGAGAGGCGGCCCCAGTATAGCAGAGAGGCGGCCCCAGTATAGCAGAGAGGCGGCCCCAGTATAGCAGAGAGGCGGCCCCAGTATAGCAGAGAGGCGGCCCCAGTATAGCAGAGAGGCGGCCCCAGTATAGCAGAGAGGCGGCCCCAGTATAGCAGAAAGACCTCTCAATCCAGCAAAGAGAGCCCCATATAGCAGAGAGATGTACTAATCCAGCAAAGAGAGCCCCATATAGCAGAGAGATGTACTAATCCAGCAAAGAGAGCCCCATATAGCAGAGAGATGTACTAATCCAGCAAAGAGAGCCCCATATAGCAGAGAGATGTACTAATCCAGCAAAGACGGCTCCATATAGCAAAGAGCCCCATTCAGCAAATAGACCGCTCTATATAGCAGAGATGGCCTAATCCAGCAGAGACAGCTCCATATAGCAAATAGCTCCATATAGCAAAAAGACAGTCCAATATAGCAGAGAGACAGCTCAATCCACCACCAACCCCACATGCACAGCTGCATGAACAGCAGAACAGGACTGTTTGTCTGTAACACACACTGGATCAGTGCACTCCCCTTCCTCCACTGTGCAGCTGTCACTGTGTGCGGGTGGTGTTAGGAGGAAGGCCACCATTGAAGCTGCAGGTGCTTCCTGTGTATCACTTACTGGAGCCTTCTCTCCCACACCTCCTAGCTTGCTGTCACCGGCCCTGCTATAGGAATGGCCACATAGTAGGAGGTGAGTGGCAGCCGCGGTCTGTGTTAGCCCTGTTCAGACCGCGGTCGCTGCTACCGCCTACTGTGCAGCCTGGTCCTAAACAGGCCTGTCTTAGAACATGCGGCCCCGGCCCACCGGGAAAATGCCCGGTGTTCCCTATGGCCAGTCCGGGCCTGGTAGCCAGTCATAATCTACTGCGCTTTTAGAATTTCCTGTCCCTTATCCAAAGATTTGGGCCACTTTTATACTTTTCTAAATTTCTCTGTGCAACCAATATTTTGCATTAATTCACTGCAAAGATATGAGAATAAACTGTTGGTGAACCTCCCATATTGGTCTCCATGCACCCTTGGAGTCCGTAACAAAGCTCAGTAGTAAAAGGGAATGTAAGCAACTATGGCATCTTATTTGTTACGGTTATGCAAACTCAAAAACTGGGAGACTGTAAGGTCAGGCAGGTGACAAGAAAGCAAATGTTTAGACTTAAAGCGGTATGAAACCCAAAAAACAAAAATGTACTTTATTGCCGCTTACCAATCCCTAAATGTGGCGGCTTGCATTTAGTTTTCTTTTTTAGGCTTTTTTTTTTGGACAGCAGAATTGTTATCCTGGAGAGAGGTGATATTTAATGCACTATTTATTTATTTCAGGTACTTATATAGCGCCGTCAGTTTACGCAGCGCTTTTATATATATATATATATATATATATAAAATTACATTCACATCAGTCCCTAACCCTCAAGAGGGTCCCTAACCTATATTCATACATACACATACTAGGGCCAATTTAGACAGGCGCTAATTCACCTACCAGCATGTCTTTGGAATGTGGAAGGAAACTGGAGTACCCGGAGGAAACCCACGCATGCACAGGGAGAACTCCAGGCAGGAGAGGTGCCGTGGCTTGGATTCGAACCAACAACCCTAGTACTGCCAGGCGGAAGTGCTAACCAGTTAGTAGAGTTAGATGAATGGGGAAAGAACAAAAAGAGGGCGCACAGGCCTAGTGCATTACCATAAAAAATGTTCAATAAAAAATAAAGTAGGTGTTGTACTCACAAACGACAATGTAGTCAAGGCACATCATAAAAGAACAGCTGGATCAACACCGCGCTGAGTAACAGTCCGCAATAGGGAGTTTAGACATCCAAAAGGCTGACGCGTTTCGAGGACCCGCCTCTTCCTCAGAGCTCTGAGGAAGAGGCAGGTCCTCGAAACGCGTCAGCCTTTTGGATGTCTAAACTCCCTATTGCGGACTGTTACTCAGCGCGGTGTTGATCCAGCTGTTCTTTTATGATGTGCCTTGACTACATTGTCGTTTGTGAGTACAACACCTACTTTATTTTTTATTAAACATTTTTTATGGTAATGCACTAGGCCTGTGCGCCCTCTTTTTGTTCTTTCCCCATTCAGTATATTTGGATTCCCCCGGTCCATTTGAGGGCAGCAAGGTGTGCATGTTCCAGGACATTCTTAATGTGGTTGTAGCATCGAGTCCATCCCCAAGCGCAGGAGCATTTGTGTTTGCTAGTAGAGTTAGATGAACCTGACTAGCAAGTCAAAGCTGAAAACCAGCGAACACTTTTTAAATAGTTACAGCAAGAGTGGTTTTTGTTTTTTTTTATCTATTGAGATAAAGGTTTTACATAATTGAATAAAATCTGACCATTATAAACACCTCTGTCAGTGTTAGTGTTTCTACCCCAAAACAATGTAATATATTGCAGCTTGTCGATTCCTAAAGAGTAACTCCACTTTTACTAACATTTATAGGTAAAGTTGATCCAGGGAATATCTGATTGCCTCTTGGGGGATCAGGAAGGAACTTTGTTCCCCTGCAGGAGCAAATTGGATTGTGCTTTGTTGGGTTTTTTGCCTTCCTCTGGATCAATTGTGGGTGTAGGATTATAACTTTTTTTTTTAAATGGTTAAACTGGATGGACTTTTGTCTTTTTTAAGCCAGACTAACTATGTAACTTTTATTGAGAAAAAACATTCCTCTTTGGGTCAGTGTACATTGCAAGGATTTTAACAAACGTTGAAGATTCTTAACCACTTGCCCTCCAGAGGATTTACCCCCCTTCCTGACCAGGCCATTTTTTGCGATACGGCACTGCGTTATTTTAACTGACAATTGCGTGATCATTTAACGCTGCACCCAAATGAAATTTGTGTCCATTTTTCCCCACAAATAGAGCTTTCTTTTGGTAGTATTTGATCACCTGTGCGGTTTTTATTTTTTGTGCTATAAAAAAAAAAAACGATAATTTTGAAAAAAAAATTTTTTTACTTTTTGCTATTAAACGTGTGCAGTAAAAAAAATTTTAAAAATCTAATTTCATCATAAATTTAGGCCAAAATGTATTCTGCTACGTCTTTGCTAAAAAAAAATCCCAATATGTGTAAATTAATTGGTTTATCTGAAAGTTATAGTGTTTACAAATGGCGGTATATATACTGGAATTTTTGTGTTACTGAATTTGCGCACCCGTGCCGCCCTGTAGTAGTATTTCTGCTATAAGGCCGCAAAGAAGCAGTTAATATTAGTATAAACTGTGTGTAAGGGAGGGCCAGGATGCAGTCATAAACACGGTGACACTCTCGTGGCCACTCCTTAACCGCTTAATTGGTCAGATGGTCTCTGACAATACCTCCCTTGATACCAAAGAAAAAAAGACTGCTCCAAAAGTTGACAGCTCTTGTTTTAATAACAACCAAGAAACACCTAACAGTACTTGAGAGAGTCACTGTACCATTTGTGCTTGAATAGGATGGTTGCTAAAACCAAGGACTTTGCAAGTATTCTTCATTTTCAACTACTTTTTGTTTCTCTGTTGCTTTCTTGTAAAACCATTATTTTTCTGTAAATATTCTATTTGCATAATGTTGACCTTTTTCATTATTAACCACTTGCCTACCGGGCACTTATACCCCCTTCTTTACCAGGCCAATTTTCAGCTTTCAGCGCTGCCGCACTTTGACAATTGCGCGGTCATGCGACATTGTACCCATATGAAATTTTGATCATTTTTTTCTCACAAATAGAGCTTTCTTTTGGTGGTATTTAATCGCCACTGGGCGCTTTACTTTTTGCTCGAAAAATAAAAAAAGTGTAAAAAATTTGAAAAAAAAAGTTTCTTTGTTTCTATTATAAAATTTTTCAAACAGGTATTTTTTCTCCTTCACTGATGTGCGTTGATGAGGCAACACTGATGGGCACTGATAGGCAGCACTGATGGGCACTGATAGGCAGCAGTAAAGGGCACTGATAGGCAGCACTAATGAGGTGTCACGGATAGGCGGCACTAATATGCAGCACTGATAGGCGGCACTGATAGGTGACACTGATGATGGGTACTGATAGACGGCACTGACTGGCATCACTGCTGGGCACTGACTGGCACAACCCCTGGGCACTGACTGGTGGCACTGACTGGCATCACTGCTGGGCTGCACTGGTGGGTGGCACTGGTGGGCAGCACTGGTGGGTGGGCACAGGTGGGTGGCGCTGCTGGGCACAGGTGGGTGGCACTGCTGGGCACAGGTGGGTGGCACTGCAGAGTGGCACAGGTGGGTGCACTGCTGGGCACAGGTGGGGGCACTGCTGGGCACAGGTGGGCGGAGCTAGTGGGCGCACTGCTGGGCACAGGTGGGCGGAACTTGCGGGTGGCACTGCTGGTCACCGATCATCAGGGCACTGATCATCAGTGCCCTGATGATCGGTGCCGATCCCCGCTCTGACAACTGCCGGTTCTCGGCAGTACTTTCCTCACGATCTGACAGCGTGAGGAAAGTGCAGCCGAGAGAACTGGCACTTGCATTTCCCTCTGATCAGCGTGTCATTGGACACCGCTGATCACGTGGTAAAAGGCCGCTGTGATTGGCCTTTTACCACATCACGTGATCAGCTGTGTCCGAAGGACACAGCGATCATGGAGATCGCCGGGTGGAGGAGCAGAGAGCGCGTTCTGGGAGGACGTCATATGACGTCCACTCAGAACTGGCCGGCCGCAGTGCAGCCGTCATTTGGCTATCTGCGGTCGGCAGCTAGTTAAACCATATTTGGAAGTGTTGACATTTTCTTTAAAGCTTTTAATGCAAACTAAAAAAATCTCTGTTTCTTGAAGAGTGCTACTGTAGTATAAATCTCTGAACATACCTGTCTGTGGTGACAATATGTGTTGCAGACGTTTATTCTAAAATCATAGGATTGTGAGTCTCCTCCTTCTCGGTAAAAAGGTGGTGGGAGTTAAAGGGTTAGTTGCTTAATTAATTTAACCCAGTGACAATTGCTCTCAGGCTGCTGGCACCTAGATTGTGGTCCCGCAAGCTGGGAAATCTTTGTGCAGGGTGCAGCTGAGAGTGGCATTGTTAGGTAAGGTAGTGCGATGTGAGATTGGCTGGTCCTTTGTCACAAGTTGGTGAGAAGGGCAGGGGTTGGGCCCAGCGTTTGTCACACATGCCTTTTACTCAACACCTTGGACTGTCTACTTTCCAAAAAGGGGTCATTTGGGGGGTATTTGTACTGTCCTGGCATTTTAGGGTCTCAAGAAATGAGACAGGCCGTCAGTACTGATCAGTTGTCTAATATATATGCTGTAGTTTGTAGACTTTATAACTTTCACACAGACTAAATATTGTACACTGATTGGCTTATTTTTACCAAGGAAATGTACCAGAATTCATTTTGGCCTAAATTCATGAAGAAAGAATATGTACAGTATTTGAAAAATGTTAGTACAGAAACAAAAATGTGTTTTTCAAAATGTTTTTTTTTTCTATACTAAAAAAAAAACCAAATCAAAAAAAAACAGTGGTGATTAAATACGACAAGAGAGCTCGATCTGTCTCAAAAAATTATAACAATGTAATCTGGGTACAGTGTTGCATGACTGAATATATGGCATTAAAAGTGTGACCGCACTGAAAGTTGAAAATTGGCCTGGTTAAACTTGCTTTAACAGACCAACCTGTCCAGCAAAGGTGACAGTTAGTGTTGAGTCAAACTATTTATTACTGACAGGCGTGTTTACTGTGATCAGCTTGTATTTATTTATGTAACAGCTTTATCCCAAAAGGGAAAAATGTTTCTATAACTGCTTAAGTGTTAGTTGGAGTTAGACTTTAATTCATTAGTCAAGTGTGTCTACTGTAAATCTGCTAGTGCAGATACTACCCTGACCTTGTGTTGACAATGCTGCTGCCCAAGGGACTATGTTGCTCTTCCTTTGATAGAGTGGAGCACTGAGCATACCCACCCTAAGGGCCAATTCACACTACTTGCATTTCAGTTGCTTTTTTCTGCACAGAAAGTAGGTTATATGGTTGTCAATGTCATAGTTCACATCAGTGCTTGCAATTCCAATGCTTTCCGGTTGCAGGAAAAAAAAGAAAAGGCTGCATTTTTTTCTGCACAAAACTGTACTGGAATGCTGTAAACGCATTGGAACTGTACTGGAATGCACCAAAATGCATAACTGTACTGGAACGCACATGTTTCTATTTAAATTGAAAAAAAAGGGAGGGGAAAAAACGCACCGGAACGCATCAAAAACACGCATGTGGAAACGCATCCGGACTGCGTTTCTATAGTGTGAACTGGCCCTGAGACAGGAAACGCGTTACTATTTTCATGCTTTTTATTCCACCATGGGATTGGAAAGCTGCAGTATATAAAATGTTTATTCTTTGATTTAGATACACTTTAAATGGATTGTCTCAATCCACTAACTGCCAATTTTGAAGGACAGCTTTGTCTGTTAAAGAAAGTTAAAAAAGCAAGACTCACTGGCCAGATCACCAGGTGAAAACTAAAGAAAAAAAGTCATAAAAAATATAAGTGAATATAGCTGTTCACACCTAAGAATTGCTAAGCTGCAATTTATAAAATTTTTGCTTTAGGGGTTACAACTGATAAGGCAAACTACAGCTCCTGGTCTGAAAAGTCAGATTCCAGCCTGTAAATATATGAAGAAAAGTATAAAATTATTTAATAATTATATATTATATTAAATACAAAATATTTACATTTTTGTACACGCCAGTCAAGATTAGTCCCTTATTATGACCTTCTTTATATGATTCACTGTTTAAATATTATTTATGTTCCTGCAGGTGAGTTCTCTGGAAGTGTGGATGAGAGAGCTGGTAGATGAACAGTACGCCGTGGCTGTCCTGAATAAAGGAACAGATGGATTTCCAAAACGTTTCTCTATGAGCCTCGCCAACCTGAATATTACACAGTGTACGCTCGGCTATAAACTCTATGATGTGTTTGAAAAAGAATACTTGGGAAATGTTAAACCTGAAACACATATTGAAATGAATATTAATCCAACAGGGGTAGTCATGTTATTTGTTCGTCCAGCTTCTGTGATGCTTCATCCTGTATAATGTAAGCAAGGCAATGCCATATTAAACTAAAGGGAGTTGTTTTGATGCTATAGAAAATTTTGATTAACAGTGGGGTTAATATATGAATGACAAACAGAGTGGCCACTATGCAGGGCAATGCAACTTTTTTTTCACACTTGAAATTAGTAGTGTTTGGAATTAAAAGGGATCTGAAAACTACATGCTTATTTTAGTTTGAAAAGAAATAAATAAGAATTGAAAAATAAATAATGTAAGAATTGCAATCCACATCAATATGCAGCACCGCAAAGCAAAAACATATGCTAAAAAGTTCACTTCTGAGCTTAGGCCAAAGAAGAAATATACACTTGTACAGTTTCACACAAGTAAAGCAATCCAGATGTTACCATCCTTTTCTGTTCCCTAATCTCTTATATGTGAATCTTGATAGAGAAAGCACAATTATGAAGGTAACTCAAGGTAGTTTGAATAATAATAATTAGTCATAATAATTAAAGTCTGCATTCAGGAATAGCAAAAGAACAATATTCAGAAAGAGAGGTTTAACACTATTTAACGAGGGCTACTTGCAGCTCAGCGTTTTTGCACAAATGGCAAACTTGATTAGTGAACTTGTATTTAAAGTGTTTATATAGTCAATGTTTTCATTATTTTGGATAGTATAGGGAAGAATTCGAATCCCTGTCAGGTCCTTCCTGGGAAAATTCAAGCTTTAATATTTGTCCATGTGAGTTTTTGGCACAAAAAATTAGGAGAAATCCAAACATTTGCATTGACACCAGAACAAGAGGTGAGGGCAAATCTCCCAGTGGCAACACTTGTCCAGTGACCTCTGTCTAAGGTGGAATTTCTCCTCGCAATGTAGAGATTTCCATACACTTCTTGTTGCATTTCTGGGACACAAAATAAATGAAAATCTTAGTGACAAAGACTGCAAAAATTAAATTGACGCGTTCTTTCCTAATCTAACCAAAAGAAACATGGAGGCTGCCATTGTAGGCCTCTTCTAAAAAAGTTGTCTAGATGTCTTTTTGTGATCCTTTAGCTTCAATACTTTGAACCACTGACCAAGAACTTTCCTGATCCACATACCTCTTTTGGGGCAGTGACTTAAGCCGGCCATAGATAATGTGTTTTTTTTTTTTTTCCTGGTGTTGGCCATTCTCTGCTGAACTGGCTGAGGTTTTAACCATCTATGGATTGCTTTAGGCAGTATTGTAACCAGCTGGTCAGAGTAATGGGCAGACAACTACATTTTCAAAATGAGGTCTACAATCACAGCCCCCCTTTTCTTGTCTGACAGGTTTACATTAATTCATTATTGTCTGTTGATTAGATACGCCCCACAACCACTGTGTACCAAGTTGGGCAATGCACCCTGTGTAAATCTTTTTTATTTTTTCTGGGTAATTTTGTGTTTTGGGGAGCAAATAAAAGTAGCCAATCATAGATTATCAAAATTCAATCAATTCTTTTACTGATAAAGGGACTATAATCTGAAACAAACTTTTGGTTCATTGTATACATTTGCATTGTCTATTTAGAACTAGCTAAATGTTAAAGAACACTCCAAATATGAAATGCATGTAGAACCTGGAGCCCCACATCTTCTGTATATTTTTTGGCTGAATGTGGTTCTTATAGTTGTGGCAAGGGAAACAGGATCCTGATAATGTTCTGTGACGTTTATGAAGGGCGCAGTGTTTTATGTAATGGCTGATATACCTATGTATATGTGTGTGTGTATATTTGCATATATTTATACATATGTACATGGAAAGACCATAAAAAACTCCCCAGAACTTAGCCATGTAAGCCTGCAAAAGAAACTTAATTTAATCACTAGTTGCTATTTCAGTAAATACAAAGATCACAGTGGGCACAAGTTTGCAAATATTTTCATATATACAAACTGTAAAATATTTTCAAATCATTCAAGAAATTGCATGATTTAAATGTAAATTAGCTGCTGTTTTTTTCAGTGTAAATAAAATGTCAAATTTAACAAGTACTGGTTGATTGTTTCATCATTTCTATGATTTCTTGATTATGTCTTGGAAGATAGAACTTTTGTGGTAAGGGCTTGGTCTCTATTAAAACCAGATGGCCACTGATGCAGCCTTGTCCTGTGCCACCATCTTTGCTGCTCTTTCTGGTTCAGGAAGCCTGGACTCCTCAATGATTCATGTCTGGCCTGTCCCCTCAAGCTGCTCTAAAAAGAAAGGGAAGTTTGTATACCAGGAGGCTTCAGCACAGAGATGTCATTCTGGCCTAGACAAGAATGGCAGTTAGGAGGCAGGCAGATTAAAAATAAATAAATAAAAGGTAAACAAACATATTAAAAAAAGGCTGTTCTAAACACTTACCCTCCAGACCAGTGGTTCTCAACCTTCCTAATGCCGCGAACCTTTAATACAGTTCCTCATATTGTGGTGACCCCCAACCATAAAATTATTTTCGTTGCTGCTTCATAACTGTAATTTTGCTACTATTATGAATCGTAATGTAAATATCTTACCTCCAATACTGCTGCTTTTAACACAGTAGCTGCTTTAAACAGAGTAGCTGCTTTCAACACAGCAGCTGCTTTCTACACAGTAGCTGCTCTTTTACATGTGTGACTGATCCACATAAGTACATTATGGCACCAACCCTGTCACATACGCCTGTACAGGTACTCATATGTGGGCGTATCTGCATGTGGGCAGAACCCGCTGTGTTACTTTAACTGACAATTGTGCTGTCATGGAATGCTGCACCCAAATGAAATTTATTTCCTTTTTTTCCCCACAAATAGTGCTTTCTATTCATTCTTTTCCATGGGAAGAGTAAAGGAGACCGGGATTCTCCCAGGTCAGTCATGGCCTGGATTGTCCAGGCCATCCAAATGTCCTACAGAGCAAAAGGCTTGGTGCCTCCGGAGGCAGTGACCGCACACTCAACCAGAAGTGTGGCTACGTCCTGGGCGGCTTCCCGGCATGTCGCCCCTGAGATGATCTGCAGAGCAGCCTCATGGTCCCCAATCAACACTTTTATGGCTCATTACTGTGTAGAGCCTGCTTCCTTATCCTCTGTTTATTTTGGTTTGAAAGTCCTGTCGGTTGATGGGGCAAATTAAAGTCTTTGAGTAACTGCCCACCTGTGTGTGTATGACTAGTTATATCCCATATGTATGCTGCCATGGAGTCTGTCAGGAAAACGGAAAATTTCCTATCAAATACTTACCATAATTTTCCTTTCCTGATGGACTCCATGGCAGCAGGAGTACCCTCCCAATGCCATGAGTAGACTAGTTATGGAACATGGCCTCTGGCGAGGAGCAAAGATGTATGGGAGTGGGGTCCTATAGGAGAGGAGTGGTCGGGACTAACCCATACGTATGCTGCCATGGAGTCTATCAGGAAAGGAAAATTACGGTAAGTATTGATGAGGAAATTTTCTGTTTTAATCATTTGTTTGAGTCCAGGATGGGAGAGAAAGTATGGGTGGCGATAAGTGAAAAGGATGTGTGTATGTCTGGTATTTAGTGCTGTATGTGAAAAAGACACTATCACTACTACACAATAGACAGAGCACTTGGCATCAGCAAAGATTTTTTTCAATCATCCAAATTAAAATTTAGTTAAAATGAGAACAGAAAGTTGCTGACGGTGATGAAAGCTAAGCACTGCAGTACCAATGAATATTTGCCAGTAGATGGCATGCCTGCACCTTATGACACTGTGCCTTGGACTCTAACCGTATGTACTGAAGCTTCCTCCAGTTGTCTCCCAGTAGTTTTGTAGACAAGTCCTATGTATAAACTACCTTTACCTCTCTACCAGCTGGTTGCCTTAGCATTAAGCCTGTTACCCTGTTATATTTTTTGCTGCTCTGGCCTTTTAATTGCTTGTGTGATCCTTTAGGCCTTGTTCACATATAGGCGTTTTGAATCGCAGGCGGGATTGCCACGATTCTGCCAACAATTTCAAAACAGGCTGTTAAAATGTCAAATTGCATATCAATGGCAACTAAAAATGTGGGGCGATTCTGCTGCAACTGTCACACGACAAATCACGCTGCAATCGTGAAAACCAAATAACGAAACATGAGTTGCCCTAAAGAAGTTCCGGAACTTCTTTTGGTCGACACTCGCTGCGCAGTTTGGTTTGCAGTACAATTTGTCACACAACAAAACAGCAGAATCGATCCAGATTTTTACGTGGCTTTGAAATGAATGACACCTGAACACGCTGATGTGCAATTTGACATTTTAACAGCGCATTTTGAAATCACTGGCAGAATCGCAGAAATTCCACCAGCGATTCAAAATGCCTATATGTGAATGAAGCATAACTCTGCCCTGTTAATTACCAGGCCTTCTGGCGTATCATTTACATAAAGCTTTTAGGACCAGTTCACATCTTTGCTGTACGTTTTAGGTGTTTTCCCATTGAACTCTGTATAATGTCTATTTTCATGAAATTGCATTAAAGATGCAGCTTCACAATTTTCTATTGCACCACTCCTAAAACGCACATAAATGCACAGGTGTGAATAGGGCCATCTTGGTGATTTGTTTTCTGGCTTTGTTTGCACTCAGCATTTTATTAGTTATGTGTTTGCTTGCTGTATATATTCATTTGTCAGTTTGGAGTGTTTGGTGTCAATTATTGTGTACTCCCAATTGAATAATTAACACTTTTTAAATATTTACTTTCTCCACATTCCCTGATATAATTGTGTGATCAGATCAGAAATATTATTTTATTTTTGTGTTGTTTTCTTGAAATCAACAAGTGTGTCAAGCAGTCAGCCTGTCTGCTTAATTAAATCTATGAGTTCCTGTGCTCCGCATGGGGTGGGAGATGAGGTTGATCTCAGCGGGAGGCACAGACAGCACCATGTCCTGCAGCTGGGAAAAGCCAGATGTGTGGGCACCACCGGGTACTTGGTTTGGTAGAATTGAAAGGACAATATAATGTCCTTATGCTGGCAGAAAGGGTCATAAAATGTGCAGAGCTGACGTCAGTGATGGA